GATATATGCTGTCAATTGGGATAGGTACCGGAGCGGGAGAAGGGGAAGGTGGAATACATCGGACAGCGAGAATAGGACGGGATGGGATGGGACGCGAAGGAGAACGAGATAAAGGGAGGGCGGGCAGAGAACGCGGGATGGATGGGGCTGAGGGATGGGAAAGTACGGGGGCGAAGGAAGGTGCGTGGAAGACAGAAGCAACACGCAAACGAGCGGCGGGAGAAACGGGCGGAGGGCGAGAGGAAAGAGGAAGGAGGGACGAGGGACGAAGGAAACAGAAACGAAGACGGAGGGCGGTAGATGAACGGGAGCAGGAGGGGGGAAAGTACGGGAGGTTAAGGAAGGTGGGTGTATGCGCGCGCAAGCTGGGAGGAAGCCACGCAAACGGGCAGGGACGAGAGGGCGGAGGGCGAGAGCGAGGAGGGACGACGAGGGCGGGGAGGACGGCAGGATGCAGCGGATAGGACGACAGGAAGGGTAGGACGGAGGGCGGGTAGGACGGGGGGAGGGAGGAAGACAAGAATAAAGCGGGAGGAGGAAGTCGAAGGACGAAGCGAGAGCAACGAAGGAGGCGGGGGCGGGGCGAATGCGAAGCCATCCGCCCTTCCGAAGAAGCGGGGGCGGGGAGAGCCCATGCACGAACGAATGCGGGCACCAGAAGGGGAACGAGAACGGGAGGGGACGAGGAGCGCGTGAGACCGGGAGACGGGTGGTCGCAGTGCACACAGCACGGTGAGGCTGAGGCGCGGGCTCGACCCCACCCGCCTTCAACCCCGCCTCCTACCCTACCCCGCCCCCCTCAAGGCTGCGTCAGAGCTCGACCGCCGCGGCGGGCCCGTGCACGCACGCCCCCCCCCCCCCCCCCCCCCCAAAAAAAAAAAAGGATACATCCCGAAATGGCATGTGAATTCGGCTCCCACACGACAGATGCCGAGCGGGGGCAATGGATGCGGGCGATGGACGGATGGATGGGATGGCGGAGATGGGGAGGAATAGAGAAACGAGGGCAGGGATACAGGTAGTGTGGTGGGGAATGGGGTGAAACGGAGGAGGGGGCGGTGAGACTTCGGAGATTGATGCCGATGGGATGTGGGATAGGTAGCGTAGCAGGGCAGAGAAAGGAATGGCAAGCAAAAGCACCAAAAAGAAAGCGAAGAACGAGCAAGTCGGGGAACAGGGGCCCACTACCCGCGCAAAAAAAAATGCACTCACCCATTCGAGCTGCTCCTGACCGCCGCGCTCGTGGACGCCGTCGGCGCACTCTGCGTCACCGCGCGCGTGCTGTAAGGGTGACGATGCTCCCGCCCGCACCCGTCGACGTCGTCACCGCCACGGTCTCGGTCGGGGTCGTCGTCACCGGCGCACTCGTCGTCGTCGGCAGCGCACTCGTGCTGGTGTCCGTGCTCGAGGTGCTGCTGGTCGTGGTGCTGCTGGTGCTCGGCGTGGTGCTGCTGCTGGTCGGTGGTGGTGCTGCTGCTCACGGGGACCGAGGTGTCCGAGACGGGCGGCGGGGCAGCGCTGCTGGCGGTGCCGGGGTCCGTCGTGGCGGACGCCGTGACCGGCGCCGAGCTCGACCCGACCCCGATATCTGAGGCGGAGGATGCGCTGCGTTTCCGTCTCCCATAAGCCCACCTATGAACTCCTCCGAAATGCCATAACTACACACCCATTGGTAGCTACAAAAGCCCTGTCAGCACAATCCGCAAAACGAGCGACGGAGACGCACCCATGTCACTTATAAGCTATGTGTATTTTGAGGTGCTTTTGAGGTGTTACATGCAGTGGGGTAAGGAGCGTGGGGAAGAAGGAGCTAGCGACGGACAAAGAGGAGCTCGAAGGCGAGAGAATCCACGGCCAGCTCCAGCCCCGTTGATCCACATGATCCCGCTTGGTCAGCTGCCCCATCCAGCTCCCAATCTGAAACGCACCACATGTATATCCAAACATGGTCGCAACGTTCAACCATAGCATTAGACAATGAAAAGCACTAAGAGGCAAGTAGCGAAAAAAGGAGACAAAAAAAAACACACAAGGACCCTGTTGATGACCTGACCCCGAATCGAACGGGGACCTCCCACGGAAGTACTAATGGCATCTCTTGTCAGGTTGAATGGGTGTGCACCACGCACCACCAGGTCTGATCCTCTCCATCCTGCACCTGAATTTATGGGAGAGTTCTGGAAGCAGGAAACTACCAGCGGTCAGAAAATTCAAGCACTCAACATCCGATACATTGACTTTGCTAGAAACACTATGTTACCTCCGAAGCTCCAACTTCACAAGTACCATTGCGAGCCTGAGTAGAGTTAGATAAAATAAAGATGTGTATGTAAAAAGTTCAAAAACACCTTCTTGTGCCACTATGACCTGACCCCGAATTGAACGGGGACCTCCCACTTGAACTCCGGCAATAGGCTAAGTTGAGTGGGTGTGCACCACACACCACCAGGTCTTATCCTCTCCATCTTGCACCTCAATTTATCAAAGAGGCCTGAAGCAGGAACCTACCAGCGGTCAGAAAATTTGAGCAGCGAACATCTAATCCATTGACTTTTGCTGGGAAATTTTTATTACCATTGAAGCTCCAACTTCCCCAGTGCCATTGCGAGCCTGAGTAGGGTTAGATAAAATAAAAGATGTGTATGTAAAAAGTTCAAAAACACCTTCTTACGCCACGATGACCTGACCCCGAATCGAACGGGGACCTCCCACTTGAACTCCGGCAATCGGCTAAGTTGAGTGGGTGTGCACCACACACCACCAGGTCTTGTGCCCTCTATCTTGTACCTGAATTTATTGGGCACTTCTGGAGGCCGGAAAGTACACTGGTAGGATAATTCAAAGTCAACATCCAATCCATTGACTTTTGCTGCGAAAACTGTGCTATCACCACCAATGTCCCAAGTACCATTGCCAGTAGGGTTAGACAAAAATAAAGGCACTGTATGTAAAAAGTTCAAAAAATACATTGCTACCCCACCATGACCTGACCCCGAATCGAACGGGGACCTCCCACATAAACCACCGAATACTTCAAAGTCAAGTAGGTGTGCACCACACACCACCAGGTCTTCTCATGTCTATCTTGCACCTAAATTTATTGAAGAGCTCTGGAGGCAGTACTCTGCCGGAATAATCCAGTTCTTGCAAACATCCCTTTACCCCAAGGCAATTTTGGTTCCAAACTGCTTCAGTGATTGCCTCAGCACCAACGAGCCAACAGGATTTAAAAGAGTACTGCCGCTCAATGACCTGGCCCCGAATCGAACAGAGACTCCCCACATGACTATGTCTCAACTTGCAAGTTGAGTGAGTGTGCACCACACACCACCAGGTCTTATCCTCTCCATCCTGCACTTCAATTTATCAAAGAGTTCTGGAAGCAGGAAAGTACACCGGTAGGATAATTCAAAGTCAACATCCAATCCATTGACTTTTGCTGGGAAAACTGTGCTATCACCACCAACGTCCCAAGTCATTGCCAGTAGGGTTAGACAAAAATAAAGGCACTGTATGTGAAAAGTTCAAAAATGCTATCTCACCCCACCATGACCTGACCCCGAATTGAACAGGGACTCCCCACATCAATCCTGCCATGATGCAAGTTGAGTGGGTGTGCGCCACGCACCACCAGGTCTTCTCATGTCTATCTTGCACCCCGATTTATTGAAGACTTTTGGAGTCAGGAATCTGCTTGACATGATGTAGCCCTTGCATTGTGCAACACATTGAATTCTGCTTCCATGAAAAATTACCAAAATTACTTGAATGAGATCGGATGGCATCCAACCAATCAAAGCACCCAGCGTGTGTTTTAAAAAAGAACATGTTCGGGCCCGACTATGACCTGGCCCCGAATTGAACGGGGACCTCCCACATGAATACTGTTACTAATCCTGGAACGCCAAGCTGAGTAGGTGTGCACTGTGCACCACCAGGTCTTTTTCTCTTCATTCTACACTCAAATTTATTCAGGAGTTCTGGATGCAAGTTCTCAAGGCACAGATTCGCACATGCATTTGCCGGGACCGTTCGCTCAAATCTGCTTCTGGTGATAATTGCCCAAGTCCATTTAATTGTCCCTGCAAAGTTTGGACGAAAAAACTCACACTGTACCTAGAACAGATGACCTGACCCCGAATCGAACGGGGACCTCTCACGTGAACACTGGCAGTCAAATTCGCAGTTTGAGTGGGTGTGCACCATGCACCACCAAGTCTTTTCCTCTCTATCTTGCACCTGAATTTATTGAAGAGTTTCGGAAGACAGGAATGGGACTGGCACGATTCCGTTCCTCAACCACTCGCACAAATTCCCCTTCTACACCCAGGGCGCCCGGCCAAAAATTCAGCAAAATATTGAACAGATTTCACTACACCTCCATTATGTAGGTGTCTTGACTTTCCAATCTCAGACTCAACATATGAAATGAAGTCAACTCGCAAGACTATGAGAGCGCCCACAACACACAGTACAGACTTCACACACCGTCGGCGGACTTGCAATCATCTCTACATATGTGCGGGGCAAAGTCTCCGAGTTCCTCCAAAGATGGGGTTGTTTCTGAGCACTCCCAATTCCCCTTAATTTCAAGGGCAGGTGTAATCGCACAACTGAAGGAAAATACATATTACTCGGTCGGACACCAGGAGGCCGAATCGCGTTCAGACTCGGGGATACCAGCCCACTCCAAGCATTTCATTCACAAAGAAAATCCGGAAATGCCGGACAACTCCTTAAATTCTTCCTCAGAAAATGCCTCCCACATCCCGTTGGAATTCCTCCAGGCGGATCGATCTTTAGAATGTCAGTATCATTCCAACAAAACGGGAAGAATTACGCACTCAAACGACACGCCTCTAGTGTCGGGCACACATCTCCAAATGCTCGAGCGATTTGCTGGTCTTCTTCCTCGGTGTCCCGGAGCGTGTAGATAAATTTGTGGTTGTGAATCCGGGGCAAGCATTCCAGCGACAGAAATGCCAGACGTGTAAAGCACGGGAGACAGTTCATGAGAGGATCCTGCGGCTAAATGAAGGTAAATAGGGTGTAGCGAGCGAAACACCAAAAGATACCAACATTGAAGAATGGCAAGCTCAGCTTAAGGCGCAGCGTCTTCGTGTGCGGTAGATTCCTCGATATGGAGTCCACAATCTCCGCAAATTGCAGGGTGTAAACGTCAATGGAACAAACAAACGGAACATCGGTGCGTGTCATTGATTTGAGTGCAATGATAGTCTTTTCGACGTCGCAGGGTACATCACCCTCGCAGTCATACCAGTCGAGCCTCGCCTCGTGCAAATTGTGGGCAACGATGAAAGGAACTAACGCGGCTGCGCAGTTAAGCTCCTGCAGACGGTACAGGGGCAGACGAGTCGTCGGCGTGGGATAGATTGCCGGAATATAGAGGGTTTCTAATGCTGAATGGCGAAGAAGGAAGGCTACCAGGTCGTCTTTATCTTTAGAACTCCACTCGAGATAGGCTTTAGAGCCCATATTGTATCTGGTAAGTTGGGGAAATGTGCAGAGCAGCAACTTCCGAAGACCTGGTATGGATGAAACGGGCATTGATAAATCCTCAAGCCGTGAGAGCGATTTGCACAAGTCCAGTATTAGGGGAGAGAGCCTGTTGGAGAGACATTAACCCGATTTCAAGTGTGTGTAGCACAACGACTCGCTTTGGCCCTAAGAAACACGCGGGATCTACCGTAAACGACCGGACTAGAGGGCCTAGCGCAGTATCCGACAGAATAGTAGGACCAAAAGCCTCGGCGGAGGCTCGAGTTTGGAGGTGTACGATGCGATAGAGAACGGGCAGACAGAGGGCGTGAAAAAGGTTGGACACACGACAGAGAGAGGCCCGGTCCGACTGCTGTGCGGCTTGGATGATCTCTATGATGATTTCGTTGGGAAGCCATCGCGATATGGCTTTGTACGCTCGACGAGTCAAAACCATGGTGGACTTTGTGGTCGAAGATTGATTTGATCGCGTTGATCCGCGTCCGTTCGGCCAATGGACTGAGCGCTTTTGACGAGGTTCTCAGCGTGACCGCCGCGCGTCTTTTTATGGGCAACAACAATAGTACACAAACCGGAAAAGTCACCGGACTTCACATAAACAAGGAAGCGCTTCGGTCTCGGGGAAAAAGCCCACAATAGCGACAGCGTAGGCTACCGCAGCCCGCGGTGAAAGTACCCACGAGGCTCTGCACACGTCGCAAGTCCACATAGGCCTGCACAGAGGCCGGCATGCCTTGCGGGAGGCACATAAGCCCGCAGGCGCCCGCAAAAGCGCATTGAAATCCCACCCCAGGTGTGCCTGCCGTCTTTCTGCGCCATCCAACGGGGATGAAGACCCGCGGCCCCGGGAAGACGTACCCGAGGCCATGGACCCCGCAGTGCAAGGGATGGGCCGCCTACCCGCGCGGACAACAGAGATAGTTAGGTAGCCAAGTACACAATAAATAAGAAAAATCATTATGATTGCGTCGATAAAAACTCGGAGATGCCGGCGAACGCCATGAAATCCTCCAAAGGATACTTCTCCCACACCCCGGCCACTTTTCTCCACGCATATTTATCTTCAATACCCTGTCAGAATTGAGCCATCCAGGTCGGTGTAGTACTCACACAGGCAACATCCCTCCAAAGTCGGACACGCATCCCCAACTGCCTGAGCTAATTGTTGGTCATCTTCTTCATCCCGATTGAAGCCGTGATAGGCGGCGAACATGTATTCCAACGACAGGAACATCAGGCCTGTGAAATGCGAGAGGCAATCCCTCAGACGTCCAATTAGTTCCAGAAGCTGTGTCAAAATGAGTGTGGGCTAATTGGAACGACCAGGGTAAAAGCCTACGTCGTCCAGATAATCGCATAGCCTCAACTGGAGCGTCCTCGTGTGGGGGATATTCCGGGAGAAAGAGTCCACAACCTCGGGGAGATAGCCGTCACAGTCATCGTTACAACAAAGGAAGGGGATGTCGGTGCGTGCCATGGACTTCAATGCAACAAAGGTTTTTTCGACCTCGTTTGGTGTAGTGTCAATGTCAACCCAGGAGAGGCACACCCTTTTCAAACCGTGGGTGAATATGGAAGGAACGAGTCTGACTGGGTACCAAAGGTGCTGGAGATGAGGGAGCGGGATTCGAGCTGACGTTGAGGGCCAGGCTTCCATTGAGTCCCAGTCTTGAACCTGGAGGGTTTTTAACGCTGGATGACGGAGAAGGAAGGATGCGAGCGTGTCTGATTGCTTTGTGGAACTCCAATGGTGATCATGGGTACCCAGATTGCACTGAACAAGATGGGGAAATGTCGAACCCAGTAATTCATAGATATGTGCATCATCCAACAATGCAATATCGATCGACAAAACCTCGAGTCGGAGAAGGGCTCGCGACGAATCCACTAGGATACTACTCAGCCTGTTGAGAAACATGTCGCTGGTTAAAAATCAACATGTATGGGGGCGGATCCAATAACTTGCCGTGTTCCGATGCTGTTGGGTCCAAATCCTGAGACCACTGTATACGACCGGACCAAGGCTGCCAGGGCAGCATTTGACACAACTGCAGCACAGAAAGTCGCGGCAGAGGCGTAAGTTTTGAGGAAGACGACACGATACATAAGAGGGAGACACAATCCATGAAACAGTTTGGATACGCGGCACAGCGAAGCTTGGTCCGACTGTGGAGCAGCCTGGATTATCTCGAGGATGATTTCGTTGAGGAGCCACCGCGAGATGGCTTTGTAGGCTCGACGAGTTAAAATCATGGTGGAGGTTGTTGTCAGAATGCCACAGGTATATGTACAATCCCTGCAAGTCGCAGAATACCTCGGAGGTGTTCGAAGAGGAGTGAAGTCAAGCGAGTCACACCGCTGTGACATGTGACGCTCTTCTCTTGCAAAATATTGTGTTTGATGCAACGAGCGGCTCGTTGCAGAAAGAACGACGACAGACTAAGCCCTAGGCCTCACTGTTGGCAACTGCTGTGCAGAGATTTTTTAAATTGTTTTCAGGGTGCAAGAGAATTGAGTAATGAACGCAGGGATCGAAAAAAAATTACTCGCT